TTTGAACGGAGGTTTCTACCAGTGTGAGCCACCATCTGACTTTTTTTTAATTGTACTGGTTCATATAGAAAAAAAAAAAATACACAATCTTGACCAGCATAGTGCACAAGTGTTGTTTCTAAGCATTTTTCAAAATTTATTTTTTATTTGATAATATAAAAAATAAAATAAATATTTGTAAAGAAGTTAATTAATAAAGATTTTAAAGGAAAATATATATTTTTAATTAAAATTATCTTCTCCCGTTCATGTCATTTTGGATTTTGAAAATAACGTGTCTGTTTATTAGCAACAAGGTTTATTGAAAAAAAAACAATTGGCAATTAAAAAATATTTATATAAATTTTAATGACTTAAATTAGAGAGAAAAATGTATCTTTTTAATAAAATACTCACTTTCTTTATTCATGTGTTTCTTTTATTAAAAGTTTTGTTTTTTAAATAAAAAACTTATTGTGATCATGAGAACAAGTTTAAATAAGAACAAAACAAAAATAATGGATGCAGCATTTCTAGACACTATTATGAACTAATCTAAGAATAATAAGTCCTGTAATATTTTATAAGAAATATATAATAAAAATAGTAAGATAGATATTCTATTCTTATCAAATATCGATAAGATTTTTTTTAAAAAAAAATATGCATATTAATTTAATATGTAACTGATAGTAAAGTAACTGTAAATATCACAAGCTTTAGTGTTATAAAAATCTAAGGCATGGTTGGAGAATTGTCTAGATAACATTTTTAATAAAATTATTTAAAGAAATTTTTGTTCTATTTTTTTTTAAAAAAAAAAGACTTGGGATTGCCAACAAATAGTCTATAAATGTATGACCTGAAATAAAAAGATGAGGCATGCACACCCATCATCTGTCCTAATTTTTTTTAATAGAATGAATAATGCGTTGTACATTAATTGTTTTTTGGTGTATATTCCAATTATTTATGATGATTGAAAGACAATATCCAAGTTTTGGAATTCTAAAAACTTATTTTTAACTTATTTTTATTTGTAAATAACTATTAAACATCACAAGACTTTGTTAAACCTGTTTTTATCCTTCAAAACATCTATTCTTTTTTAAAAATTCAAAACTAAACCATGTCACAAAAAAAAAAAAAACTTCAAGCTCCAATCTATTTTTTTCTGACAAGATAAAAATTATTCAAACTACCTTCATGTAATTTATTTGTTTTTTCAAAAAACATACAATTCACTATTTTACAATGGAGACTACATAATCCAACCATTTATGATGGTTGAAAAGTCAAGGTTTGGATTCAACTTGTTTTCACATATAAATTCCTACAAAACATCATAAAGGCCTCTCCAAACTCATTTATTTCCTAAAACATTTTTAAATCTTTTTAAAAACTCAAAATTAAATCAAATCACAAAAATTCTCTCGAATCCCAACATGTTTTTCTTAGTAATATGAGGATTTCAAACTATATCCATGAAACTTTTCTTTGCAAAATGAACCCATTAACACAATGATTAGTGTTTTTCATCACCACAATATGCCAGCTAACTTCTTTCTCCTTTCTTTTATTTTTAAATGATTTTCTCCCTTTTCTCTCAACATTGTAAAAATAATGAAGTTTAAGATTATAACATAAAATTCTAAAACATCTAGATCAAATAATGCATGAACTAAACTCTAAGAACTAAACTGAAGTTTTTTATTTTTTTTATTTGAATCATTGTTTTTGTTTTCTTGATTTTTTTTAACTATAGCCTAAAATTATATTTCTCACAATTGATTTTTAATTTAACGTCATACTATTTCTTGATACTTCGAAGAAGTAAATACCATGCAAAGTGAAAGCATCTCTCTCTCTTTTTGGCTTCCTGATGTACATTTTAGGAAGTTGACCGCATCCTCCTCTTTCCTCCCCCCTCTTTACTTGATTTAATTTAATTCAATTTATTTAATTTTAAAAAAAAGTGCCTTGACCATTGACTCGTATATTTCTATGGCTACGCATGTTGTAACACATAGAAGCTTGCTGCGAAAGGTTTGGTACGCGGTTGATGGGAGACCGATGCGATATTCAAGAACGCTCTAGCCAGTTGCCCTCACTCATCAAAAATTAATTAATTAGTCTAATGCTGTTAGATCGGCACTTTCCATGGTGAGCTACTTAATCTTACTATGATCTGTCACATCATTATTTACTTAATTAATAAAACATTTTGACAACATTAATTTATAGCATGAGTGCTGTGATAACATGAACTTGTGTGCTTCCTTACTATATAGCTCGGAAAGTGCCCCTGTCCCACTCTGCCTAAACAAAAGTTATGTATCTTGTTAACTGCTGCAGCTAAGATGAACAGTATAGGATGAGATCAAATCTAGAGTTCACTGCCCATAACTTGGGTTGTGAGTCTAGATCGGCAGTTCGATCATTTTTATTTTTTTAAAATATATTAAATATTTTATTTTTATTTTTAACTTCATCACATTAAAATTAAAATATAATATAAATATATTTTAAATTTTATTTAACAACTTAAATTTTTCAATTAAAATAATTTTTTAATATGATATTAAAATTTTAATGGTTGAATGATTACGAGTTTGAATTCAATATTTTTATTTGTTTAATAAAAATCAAGTATTGAGTATGTGTAAATTTTAAATTTAAATTATTTTTATTTAAAAATATATATTAAAAATAATATAATTATACCTTGAAATCTTACTTAATAAATTAAAATTTTTAATCTAATTAATATTTTAACTATAAAATTATTAAAAATAACTAAAATAATATCAATTTAATATATTTTAACGCTAAACATATTTTTTTAAATCACACCAAGTACAATTTCAAAAGCAACGAGAAACTGTACTTGAGGCTTCACGGCAGTTGGCTCCTTTTCCCCCTTACCATGTGAATTTCCAAGGAGCAGGCATGGGACAAATAGTGATCTTCTATACATATAATGAATTATAACAGATGGCTGTGGAGCTTCAGGAGTGGACATGGCCTACCACTTAATTGGACAGTGTTATCATTTTATCGTGGACTAGAATCCTGATTTGTCATCATGTAGTTGCAGAATATTTCATGTCGATAGGTCAAATTATACATTCTCTTTCATTTCCACTGCCACCGTTTTCAGTCTGATTTCCTCGCCGGGCTCTGATCGTTTCTGATTTCACAAATCTTCCTTGGATACACAGCGTTGACTTGCTTTCCAGTATACCTGTTGAACCTGTAGATGCAGAAACCATCGCTAGCTGCTGCCATAATTGAAAATCTCGTGCTCAAATCCAGTCCAGTGAGCAATGGCATCCAAAATTGAAACAGCCAAATATCGCAGATGAGGATTTGAGGAGCCTTCCGATGCATATGCGGTAAAATCAAGAATTTAATCATACTATTGAGGCACTCTTGCATCATTGTAAATACAAGAAAGACCCTGCCCTCCTAATTTCAAGCTTAAAATTGTTCGTAGTCACTAGTTTCTTTCTGCTTTTCATAACATCAATCATGTCAACTGTATAAACATTTCTGTAGTGCGTTGCTGGCAATGTCACTGCTTATGCTACCTTTATACTACAAGCCATTAAAGAATTCAGGCCAACTTTAGGTGACCTAAAGGAGTTTCGTGGAAAATGACAACTACCCGTGAGTGAATCAATTCTAAGCTTATCTACCTAACTATTTAATTACCCTTTTCTTAAAACAACAATGAAATCTCATTAACATAAGACGACATTATAGAGCAATTTGATGTAGTGTAGGGTAAAAACCCAGCAAAATAATTAAAGCATAATGACTCAAACATGAAAAAGCTCAATGAAAACAGATAGCATGTAGAGAAATGAGTATAGCAGGTGGTAAAACCATATTGTTATCGTAAATGACGATGATGCAGGTATCGAATCGCGGGTTAATGTATTAAGTTAATTTAGATCTATTACGGGTAAAACTCGATCAGAATCAAGTTTCGAGTACCAGGTGTGGGCGGGCATAGTTACACCATGCTTCTAACACTGAAGTCGGAAGAAGCTTGTACGTCAGGTAGCATTCCGAGCCAAGACTGGATCCATCCGCTTCCTGACAACCGTGGCGAAACGCGCCTTAACGTGGCTTTAGATTCCGTCAATGCGGGCAGAAATATCATGGCCATGAGGATGAGGAGATTGACTAGTTCACCATGTAAACCGGGCCACTAATCTCTCATGATCTCTCTAAGTTTATTAAAATTCACCGAGCAAGAAATTAATCAAACAACTCAATGCCTAGTCTACCTGCCTTTCTCACGATCAAACAAGTGAGAAGAAAGGAGAAAAGGTGAAACATGTTTTTATGCTCCTCAACAACAACTTCAATCACCATCTCTTCTAACATCAAGGAGTTCATATCATAATTATTAAATTAATTGCAGGATGTAACTTGTCTTCTGTCATATTCACTGAAGTCTTGAAACTGATGGCTGTGGTTACTGGTTAGAAATCTTGGGAGTTCCTTTTTTCTTTGTTATAATTTAATGATACACACCATGATTTCTCTTAATTATAAATTAGTTCTTATAGTTTATCAAAACTAATTAACTAGTCCTCATGATTTCAAAAATCATATATTTAATATTTAATTATTTTTGTATATTTAATTAGTTTTATTTTTTGTTTTGAGATTTTTTTTTAAAAAAGAAAAGAAAAGGATAAGACGGAGAGATTGATGAGAAATAAAGCCTTTTATTTTCTGGAACAAAATACTTGTAAATTAAGCACGGTCAACATTGATTAAATGATTATGTAATTTTTTTTTATATATTATAGGAATTAATTAATATACCTTAATAAAACATAGGTAGTAAGTTACAGTTAACTCCAATACGCAACCACCACATAGGCTTTTCAACTCTACAGCAAAGCCACTTGTATTTGTACAATGTCAGCCATGTAATTGCGCAAAAATAACATGTCTATTTTGGGTAGAATAAATCCAGCTTTTGAATGTGAAATACAGAGAAAAGTGAAAACTTCTAACGCTCGTTGCTTTGGCTTTGGATAATGAAATGGTGCGATTCCCCTTTTTTTTGAAACCAATAAAGCAAAAAACAAAAGCCAAAGCAGTGATTTTTACATTGCAGATTCAGAGCCAGAGAGGAAACAAAGCACGACATTCAAAATTTTTCTAACTTTTTAGAGGGATCTCTTCAAGATATTCTCTATTTGTGATTTGTCTCATCAACCTCTGCTACTCCTACTACTTTTAACACTCTCCTTGAATCAAAATTCACATTCCTTTACTGTTTTGTTCTCTTCTTCAAACACCCTTTTCTTCCAAAGTCCTATACTGTTTCGTTTTAGTGGTTGAGGTTTTGTTTTTGTTCTTTTTAACATCAACCCACTTTTTGTTTCTTGTCAAAATTTCTTCTTCGGTTTATTTCTAGTCATTTCAGAAACACCATCATTACCTCTAATTAGCATTGTCTTCTTTCTTTTTCTCTTTCCCGCTCATTAATCTTTTTTTGTTTCATGCAATGGAATCTTTATTGTTTTGTTTGAAAGACTGGTGCTTTATTGATTTAATTTTCTATGGTTAATTATGGTGTGAATCAAGAATTAAAAATAGATTTTTAAGTGTGGTGGGGGCTTATGGGCGGTGCTGGTGATGGTGGTAGTGGTAGAGTTCAAGTAGTTGATAGTAAAGGGTGTTCAAGGTTGTTTGTGGGGATGTCAGCTTCATTGCCTTCTTTTAGAGGGTTGCAATCTTTTGAGCCAATGTCTCCTGTTACTTCCTCTATTGGGTCTGAGCCTGTCGTGGTTAGATCACATGGTCCATTTGCTGGTCTTGTTATTTGTGTTACCGGTCTATCCAAAGGTATTTACTTCGCGGTACTGAGTAATATTTTTGCTTGATTTTAATTCTTAAGATGCTGAATTGTTGATTTATTTAGCAAGAAAAACATAAAGAAGGCATGAAAGATTGTGATTTTGAGTTTTGAAATTTGTATTATATTGTAGATTTGTGTTCATCATATAAAAGTAACGTTTTTTTTAATTTGTATGAACAATAACTATACAGTTGCAGTTGTTTGTGTTATTGTTATGATAACAGCAACATTTTTTTTCTTTGAATTGTTAGGTATTAGGTACATATTTGAGCTATCTGTTTTATGTAATTTTCTCTCCTTTAAAAGAAAAATATGATGCTATCTAAGGTAGAATTATGGCTATCTTGAGTATGATGTGTTGTTTCATCTTTTTGATTCTCTCTTCTAATTATTTGATATGTTACATTTATATTCTTTTTTAACAGGTAAAACAATTCAATTTTCTCGTTTAATTATCTAAGTAAGTAGTTGTTCAGGTTTGAAATTCTTCTTATGCAGAAGCTAGGAAACAAGTCATGGAAGCAACAGAGAGATTAGGTGGTCAATACAGCCCTAATTTGCATCCTCAGTGTACTCATTTGGTGGTTCAGATATCCTTTTACTCTTTTATAACGTAGATTATATCATTTTTTGACATGAAATGGCAGTTTGGTGGAGATGCTTCGTTGTAAAATGGGCTTGTGCATTGGATATGCATGCGAGTGAAATTTTGCAATCATCTTAATTCTTTGGTTGGGTTGACTGTATTATAAGGCATTTCTCATTGTCTTTTAGTCCCAGAATACATTAAATATCTTTCGCTATTGATGCCATGACTCTGTGGAACCTTAACACCAGTTACAGCTTTGGTGGACGTAAATTAGAGCATGCTTTGAAGCATGGATCTAAAATTGGTCTCTTTGTTGTAAAGCTGGGATGGTTTGTGGACAGTGTCAGGAGGAATGGTAAGAGTTGACTAATTCTGGTTTTGTACTAATCAGTTATATACATTTAGTTGCTAATCAAAGGTTCTCTCTACCAAGAGCTGGTTTTGTGCAATTTTCTGTCACAAATTCAGTCTTATTTGTAACCTCACATATGCATTAGGAGATTTGATCTCTCTCAGAGCTATGGTGCCTTTTCAAGTGCTATACTGATATTTTTTTGTGCTTGCCTTTATTCTGTTTAAAGAGGGTTCTATGGGTTTTCCATATGGTTTATGGTGGGCTAATTGCCTGAGTTTTTTAGCGAGGCTTCTGTTTGCTAGGATTTTTATGTGAAAATGTATCTTGATTGTTTTTCTCAGACAAGAACGCAACAAGGAAACAAGAGAATTAAAGTGATATATTTTTAGAAAATCCATTTGTTTTTTCATCCGTTGCAGTGAGGTTGAGTGAATCACTCTATAGTGTCAAGAGTGTTGGGGAAAATGGTGCACGCTTAGATGAAATGAATCGGCTTGTCGGTTTTACTGGTGCTGAAAATGCTTGTCTTCCTGTTGGTATTAATGATGCCAAGCAATTCAACAAGAGTGAAGGGCTGCATCAACTATCTTCTGGAAGAAGTCCTATCAAAAGTATTGGCTTGAACCTGTCTGGCAATTCCATGTATGTTGATTCAGACATTTCAGATGATCTGCGAAGTAAGGTGAGTTGAAATGTTGGTATTAGATAGCAGTGAGTTTTCTTTTCTTCTAATGTACATGCTGATGTTAGATAAATGAGTGGGACTCCATGTTTCATCTATGTTTACTGCATTACAATGTCTTTGATTAACTCCATGAGTCATTTAATATGCTTGATAGGTTTATGAGGCAGCTACAAGAGAAGGTGCCAAGGTTTTAGATCGATGGTTTGTTGGTTGCAGTGCAAGTTATGTGGTGTGTGAAGGGGCTTCTATCCAAAAATACCTTGGCCATTCTAGTAACCTTGTTACTGTGAGTTCTGCATTGCTGATTCCACACTAGAATGAGTACTCTGTGTTCTAATTTTCTTCTGAAATGCTGCTCCTCTACAGAGTTGCTTTTTGATGCTTAAACTGTTTGAATTTTCCAAATCAGTTTTTTTTAACTGTTTGCGTATTGTAGTTGCATATATTTTGTATGATCTAACTGATGACATGATCTACAACTTGAAAATCCTTTTACTCTTAATATTGACTAGCACTCTACTTCATTAGTTTATTTCATTTAAATTCTTTGCGCATGTAATGTATTTCAGCCACCATGGATTCTGAAAACCGTGAAGGAGAAGCACATGCAGAGGCTTGTTCACATGTCTGCTGATTTGGCCAGACATGTTGGCGTGATGCTGGAAAATTTTCAAAATCACATTACAGAAGAGGTACTTTTGATGTTGTTCAAATGCTTATTTAATGATAACACTTTTTAATTAATGTTTTCCTAGATGTTTGTTTTTTGTTTCCCTGTACTTTGCATCTTTAAAATTGATTTTGTTCTAGGAAATGGATGGAAGAAATGTTCCTCAAGATCCACAGAGTTTGAGAGGTACAGCAAATCACGAAGAAAGGCTACAGATTGTGAATATTGCTAAGAATGGGGTTAGAAATCGTCGCAGTCATCGTATGCAGGTTAGGGGTTAATAATATTCATGTTTTATCAGATCTTCACTTGCATGCTTGTGTTTTTCATGTTTAGCTATTCTCGCATTGCAATGCCTTCTGTCTTTCTGTTCTCTATTTTTGGCTTCAGTGTTAGAGAGACTCGGTTTTGCTTAATGTGTAATAGACATATAAACTGTTAGTGAATATAATGAAACCATTTGCGTGGATTGGACCACATTTCTTTTGACATGATATCAAAGCCTCAATGACTAAATAGCCACAAGTTCAATTCCTAGCATCCTCATTCCCTGTTCTTCTAACTAATTTTAAAATTTTGACACAAAGTAGTGGTGGATCTGTTCAAGTTTTAAACCAAAGTGTTTTCACGAGGTGTGTTGGTGAATAGAATAAAACACATTTTGGAACCTCACCTAAAGCTTAAATTTTTGAGTTGAGATAGTTCTTTGACATACACCATCAACTAGAGATTTATTTACATGAACATATAGAATTGGGGTCTTTTCTCATATTTGGGCCCTTACAGCTATTGTCCCATGAAAATAAGTCATAACTTGAAAGACTTGGGCCTGAGCACCAAGAGACCATCCTTAGTGTGATGGTGAAAATCTTGGGCTGTTGACATTTGATCAACATGCAAAATGCCGACAACTGCTTTTCCAAAATCCTATGAATATGATAATTTGCTAGTAAATTTTTCACCTGAAAGTCATCATTTGTCAGTTTCTTGGTGGTCCTTAACCCCTCGCTCTTCTGCATATTTTTCAAATGAATGACATGCTGGTGGTGAAGTCTTGTATATTACTAAATGGCCACAAGTTCGATTCCTAGCAGCCCCATCCCCCCATTTTTCTAATTAAATTAAAAATCTCGACACAAAGTAGTGGTGAGCGTGTTCAAGTTTTAAGCCAAAGTGTATTCATGAGGTGTGCTAATGAATAGAATAAACTATGTTTTGGAACCTTATCTAAAGCTTAAGCTTTTAAGTTGAGATGACTCTTTTGACAAACACCATCAAGATGTATTTACTTGAACATATAGAATTGGGGTCTTTTCTCAAATTTGGGCCATTACAACTATTGTCCCATGAAAATAAGTCATAACTTGAAAGGCTTGGGCCTGATTACTGAGGGGCCATCCCTGGTGCGATGGTAAAAATCTTGGGCTGTTGACATTTGATCACCATGCAAAATGCTGCAGAGTGCTTTTACAGAATCCTATAAACAATGATAATTTGCTAGTAATTTTTTCACCTGAAAGTCATTGTTTGTCAGTTTCTTGGTGATCCTTGACTCCTTGTGCCTCTGCATATTTTTCAAATGAATGACATGCTGTGGTGATGTCTTGTATGTTACTTCATGTTTTCTCTTCCTTTCGAGTGCGTTTTTCTGCATGTGGGTAGGTTCATCTGGTCCTGTATTGAAAACTGCCTTGTGTTGATGTGAAACATATCTTTTGTTCTGTGGAATTTTACAGACCTGTCAAACCCCAATACGACCAATAACCCCTAGCAGCCTTCTGGATTCAATCTGCTGGTCAATATCTGAGCCAACTTCAACAGCTTCTATTTACACGGACTCTTTTAGTAGCGAAGATGTTAGTGAACAGCATACATCTGTATTTTTTGATGCAAAAGGAGACATCAAGGACTCAGAAGCTTCATTCACAAACTTAACTCGGCCACTGACGGAGAGGTTATTGTTTTTCTCAACTGGGATGCCTTCCAAAATTATCCTCAATGCTTATGAGTGTCTCACTGCATTCTCTTTGTGTCTTGCAGTGAGAAAACCGAATTGATATTTAAGAATCACTTTCTGACTATACTTTTTCCCGTTGACCGATTTTCTGAAATGGGGCCATCTTCAAGAACCTTTTTCAGTGAAAATGGTTTTACATGTTTGGAGGTTTTAGATCATATATATGCATTTTATCAGGTAAGTTTTGAAAATACTTTCCCTTCCCTTGGCTGGTACGTCACTTCCTGAGATCATAAATATGGATGTTTTGATCAACTCTTGTGATCAATCCTGACGGCTCATGGAATCAATGCTGATGCGTGTTATATTCTCTTCCAGGAGGATATGTCATGGCAAGAAATAGGAGCTGCTATTCATACTGATTCCAGACATGCTGACAGGCTTCGATCGGCGTACTCCAGCAAAGAAACATCAGTGCATGGTTATGTGATTTTTAAACGGATTGATTTCTTAGGGAGCCGTAAGAGTTTTGAGATGCTGAAGCGTGTTAGCGGGGATAACAACAGCAATGTATATGAGCTTATGATTAGAGCATGATGTCACCGTATCAAGCTGGCATACACGCTGCTTTATAGTCACTGGCCAATGGTGATGTGTGAAAACTGAGAAAGCTCAATGCTGTGGGAGTTTGCTGTTTCCACCACCAGTTTTCTGAGAATGAAAGACGGTTTCTACTTTGCATCACACAATTACCCTCTCTTTGCATATACATATATACTTGCATTTGGTGTGAATAAGGAACAATAGATGAGTGAAAATCCCAACAAATTTTGTTGTTTTTCCTAACAACACCTTTTATCTATACAGATCTCTTCAGTGGGTGCGCTTTGACACCATACATACCATGTAAATTTAACTCATTGCATAGATGAGGTCTTTTGATCAACCCAAAATAACTCTCTTAATGCGAATGTCAAACCAAAAAGGGCGAGTGGATTTGTTCTGCTTCGTGTGTTATTATTCAAGTTGCCATTTGACAGAAAGTGAGTTGTCAATGAATTGTCATTGCCTATGTTTACAGGAATATTTGCACCAGCTAGGCATTGCAGATTGTGCAGGTTTTATCTTCCTTGACATTATCAAAGCCAGGAAAAGAATATGCAGCCAACTTGCTGAAGTTGGTTTGCTAATTTCGTCACCAATAACTTTAGAAGCCACTTGCTTCTCAGCTTCATGGGCTCATCATGATCCAACTTCAGTACAACGAGAAACACGTGCATCCTCGTACGATTAGCTGGAGGAGTGCTGAGTGCACCCTTCTCTGAGATGGGTTTTGATCCTGTGGCTTTACAAAGCTAACATACCAATATCTTTTGTAGTATTTTTTTTCGCTATTTGATCAAGAACTATATAAAACCTAATGCTCATAAAAACATGTTTAACTCAGACCTTAACACAGTAGACTAGATCCATTGAACTCAATATACCAAATGGCCATTCTTAATTATTTTGAAGAAATATTTCAATTTGTATGACAATTTCATAATTTATTTAGAAATGATCTACTGAAAAATAAAAAGAATATAAATAATAAATAATTCACCTTTAATGAGGATTAACACAGAAGTACGATTAATGTTGTCAGAAATTTTGATTCAAGGCTTTTATTACGATTTTTAGCCCTTTCAATTATTATTCAGCCCATTTTTTATATCGCTAATTTTTAACACACAACACTGATCCAAATGTCAATGTCATCGAAGTCCATCGGACAGGCATCCGCTAGATAAGATGCTTTCTTGCTTTTATTTTCTTTTCTCTTTCTCTTTTTAAAAATGTTAGATGAGATTTATGAAAATTAGAAGCCGACATGGGATGAGAAAACAACTTGCAAGCCATGCTTTTTTTTCTTTTTTTGATACTAGAAGGATTGACCAGTGAAACCTTTCAGGTTTGCAAGAGGGCACCACTGAACTGCAAGTCATAACATAATGCTACCATTTTTTGTTTCCTGTGTTAATAGTCACATCATACACATAAACCCTTCTGGTTACAAGGTTCATTGGCAGAAACATCATACAGGAAATGGGGGAATAGTTCACAATTTACTATAATCTAAGATTACAACAGCACCTAGGGCTAGGCGTCACTCACTACTTTCCTGGTTGCTCTGTGTTTTGAATCAAGAGATGGCAGATTATTAAACAAAAATTCACCATCATGCTTCCAAGATTGATCCTCCAATGATGACCTGTCCCCATTTTTGAAGCATGACAAGTCCTGCAGAGTCATATGAAGTCTTCTTATCAGCCCTAGCCTCTCCCTCGCATTCAACAACGCCAAAAGACAGCATTTTCAAGATGATTTTTGATACGTGACTGTCAAACCCCTTTCTCTTTTGGGGGCCTTCACCGAATTCAATTGCATTTCTGTGGAAAGAAGTTGATTAGAAGAAAGAGAGAAAAATTTGCAGAAAAAATGTAGCATGGAAAACAAAATACCCTGTGCAATTAATAACGGTGAAAGGAAATATTTGATCTTTGCATATAACTGGAAGTTTGGAGGGAAAAAAAGGCAGGAGAGAGATCTAGTAGTATTGGCAAACCTGGATTTCGTTTCTGTCGTATCAAATGTAGGCATTGGCCACTGAACTTTCTTACAAAGATCGTAAAGAGCACTACGAGGTCCTCCTTTCTTCATGGTAACTGACTCAATAACTGCAAAAAAGTGAGTTCAGTGAGATATTCTATGTATTCTAGAAAGATAAATAAGAAAGAGTTCGATCGATCATGACCATAAAAAATACTAATATTTGTATGAATAGATTCATTTTAAAAAGAAGAGTTAAATGAAGACGGTTTTTCTTTATAAATCTATATATAAAAAAAAATTGGATCAAAACTAGTTAAGTTTTTATGGATTCAGTTTGATTTTTTTTTAAAGGTGATTCCATTTTGTTTCAAAGTAAAAAATGGATTTATAAAGGTTTTAAAATATTTTAAGGTATTTTTAAGTGAAAATAGATAGAAATTTTAATTTTTGGAGTTAAAATACTTGGATCCTCCTCTTATTAAAAAGATTGGAAAATAGAAAGATTGTATTTCATGTTAGCCAAAACCAATGTCATTTATTTTTATGCATTACAATAATCAGTCAACAATTGAAAGATCATAAAGTGATATGTATAATGATAAGTTTAAATATATACATCGTAGACATGATATCATTAAACAATTATTCTTGAATAGAATTATTTATATTAACTATATAAAATCAAAACAAAATATTACAAATCCACTAACTAAAGGTTTATTGAGAAAGTTTATATATGATTCATCAAGGAGAATGAGTTTAAAGCTTTTTAAATATGAAAAAGTGTAATGATAGTAACTATATCTAGTTGATTGAATATTCCAAAATTAAATTATAAAAACTAAGTTATATAATATTTTTGACAATGCTAGAAAACTAACTCATCATTAAACAATTACAACATGATAAAAGGTGAGCTGAGCTCTTAATAATTTTATATTTTGGTACACCAAATAAAGAATAGCATAATACTTTTAATGAAAGATTATTTATATGAGTGAGAAATATAGATGTTTCTTTGAGAATTTTGATAGAGGCTAAATTCTTGAAAACACTCATGAATCCAAAAATTATTCAATGCCAAAAAGAACACAATAGTGAGAACTAAATAAAATCTCTAAATAGAGAACTAAAGCTGAATAGTTCAAGACATTGAATTCACTATTTATCTGAGTAAATTTGATAATATCTCACTAAAAAGGGTTTAAAATCAAAAGCTACCTATTTTGATATAGTAATTTATCAAATTAGTATCTCCTAACAAATCTTTAAGTCATTTTTAAACCGACAAAATAATTTTAATTTATATGGGGGAATGTTGGAAATTTATTTAATAAACATGATTTTAACAAATTATGTGTGAATAAAAAATTAATCCTTAAAGAACCCATGGTTTTCCTAAACTTAATTATTGGTTTATGGTAGCTAATCAAAGACTGATAATGGTGGAAACTAATTCCTATTAATTTCAATCTTTTAATTTCTAAAATTCACAATAAAAAAGGAGGGTGAAAAAAGAGTTTTTAGCTTTAATTTTTTTATATTTTTCACACTTTCTCACCTTATTTTTAGTGTTTTAATTTTCTTTTAAACTTTGGTTTTTTCTCTCAAATCTAGATCTTAGGTTCATAATTTGTTGAGAGATATTTAAGTTCTTTTATTTTAGTTCAAATATCTTATTTAGAAATACATCTAAACATATATGGTATAGTTGAAATTTTAGAAGATATATTGCAAACAATCTAGGTGTACAAGTGATGAGTAATAAAACCTTAAAAACAAAGAATTCATCATTAACAACAACTAAATTTTTAGTTCTTTAAAGTGCTTCAACAAGTAAGTATTTTTATTCGTTTTAATTTAAACATTGTTATTTTTATTATTTGTATGCATGGTACGAATTTGATCTTATATATATTGCAAGTTTGAATATATAATTAGTATGCATGCTAATATTCTTTTTTATTGTATTTTATGTTGAAAGCATGTTTGTCTCAAATTTTATTTTATGTTTATGGATTTAAAATTAAATACGCTCTAGGCTTACCTAGAATAATATTTTATATTATGTATGCTCTTATTATAATAAACTAAATATCATTACTCACTAATCTAATCTAATATAACATATTTTTATATGGTTAGCTTGGTGGGTTAAAGGTAAAGCTAAAGCTAAAGACAAGCCACCTATGATATTGTCCATCAATTCATATGACCACATTATAATAGTTAAGGTTACATGTCCTCTCTCTTGTATTCATTTCATTGCTAGAAAATAATATAAATCATATCTTAAAATATCACCTAAGAGGTTAAACTTTTAAGTTAAAATAATTTTTTTATATAGTATTATAGTTTTGATGGTCAAACGGTTAAGCATAAAGACATTTCAATTAGAAGAATGCGTTATTTAATAATATAAATCATATCTTGAAACTACATATTATATTTTAAGATTTTAAATTGAAAAGATTATTTGACATTTACGATTTTAAATTGAAAAGATTATTTGACATTCACTATATAACATCAAGATGTTATTTCAAACTCAAAATATAATCTTGTATCCATTTGGCAACTCCATATTGTATAAAACATTGAAATGGCTCATCAAACCAATAAAAGAGACTCGTTTGACTTCAACATATAAATAAAAAATCATCCACTAGATTTAAGATAAACTTATAATTTTTAAAATTTAGAAGATATTATATTTTAGAGAGATAAACAATAATTAAATTAATTATAAAAATTAAATCAAAGATATTGAGAAATTAAATCATTTCATGATTTTTTTTTCTTTTTATTTTTGTGCTTATACTGATTCTTTTCCATTTAAATACATATTTTTATAAAATTTGATCAATCTAAGTATTTCCGTAAGCTTCTCTTATAAACTAGTTGAGATGGCAATATGGGAAGCCATCCTATAACGTAGTTCGGCCTTTCAGCATAAGATTCTCTCTCATGCCTGATTTGTATTGAAATTGGCTGCTACAAATCTTTCAAACGAATGTGAGAGGACTACGGTAGCTTCTGAAAATCATTCATGGTGAATATAGACGCAGGAAATATTCGGAAGGTCACTCCTGGATTGGTACTAATGCTTTGTGTTCACTTAAGATTGCGCACGGCGACTTTTCTCCAGCCCACTTTGCCTCCCAGCATGAACGAACTTACAGGCATCATGCTCCGGCTCAAGTCTCTGGGTTCTAACCTGTGAATATAACGAGTGCGTGTGTTCATCCACAAGAACACTCCCATACGTAACCTCCACCAAAATAGGCTCAAGCGCGTCAAAAGCTGGCTAATGCGGTGACTCCTTCACCAGCGGACAAGACAGTCTCAAAAAGGTCAGCACAACTTCACCCATGTTACACAACAACCAGCACTCATCTATCGGAGATGATATTTCAAGATTTCATAGCCATCGGGGCATCTTAGTCATGCTTGATGAATTGTACTATCATGTAATTCAATTCTATCAGTTACATCTGAGAATAAAAAAGAAAAGATAAAGGAATGTTACAAGAAAAAAATTTATGGTACAAAATTAACAAGCAGCAAAAGTTTCGGCTTATGTAGGTTCCCTGATCACTACCAAAATGTAATCCTGCTGTCAACCTGTTAACACCTTAATGGTGTACAATTCTGCTCCACTTTTCACCTTTTCCCTAACCTCACCTTTTTTTTTCCTCCTTTTTTTCTTTCATATTTTCTTTTATAAGGCTTTCAACTACTTTCTCTTCGATATCTTCCATGTACAGATACAAGAACCGATTTGATGACTATGACTTGGATTTTGCATCGTATCAAAAAACTCCTATGCCTTGTGCTGTTGTGAAACTGGTTCAATATATCACTACTCGAAGCAGCCCTGGATGTGGTTCTGTGTAGTCAAGGCCCTCTTCTTCAAGCAGGTATCGTTGTACAGCGACGGGAAGTCTTGCAGGAGTGCGTGAACCTCTGGTGTGATGACCTGTTCCAACACATATATAGACCTGCAAACGCTGATCTGCTGCCCGGGCTGTGCTCCTCAGAACACTCAATTCGTGCTTTAGCACATGAATGGCTTCACTTACATGCAGACCATGAAGGTCTATCATTTGTTCATGTCCTCTTCCAGTTCCCTGCATCTCTAGACTGACTGGATTCCTGGAAAAAAGTACAGGAGGAGAGTAAGAACAAACCCAACTATTAGCTTACAAAAATTAAAACCTCCTTGGGTCTAGGGAATTAATGAACAGAATGTCCACTTATGGCTCTGCACAGCAGGCATTGTTGACACTTGAGAAACAGGCCCACACAACAAAGAATGTAGTCAGTAGAAGAAATTGAAAATGCCTGGGCGAAATGATTTAACGAGACATGACACAATCTCATTTGCTTCTAGGAAAAAAGGAAGAAAAATAAAATGGATAAAAGCAATAGTCAAACACAAAACATCAGCATGTCACAGCTAACGCTAAAACAGATGGTTGGAAGAGGGAGAGAGGGGAGAGAGGGAAAACCTATTACCTATTAATCCAAAAACATCAACTTGTCATGGCTGAAACAAACTGTGAGCAAAAAGAATTGACAAACCTCTGGTGATAAATAGATTCTTGAGCTTTTCCATGAGCTTCCTTCATATGCATATTGTGCAGCTGTCCTTTGACACTCAATTCCTTTGCCAGAGCCTTATTCCCAATGAGGTATGCTTGACGTGCCTGTTGTGAGATATAAAAACCATTAGACCTTATGATTGATTATTTTGATTGTGCTGACGTGTGAAAAAAAAAATCAAATCGTGAATAAAGATTGGAGCAGACTCACAAATTATTTGGCTCAGCGGTCAGCAAGCATCAAATGTGCTGCATGATAATCTAGTACAATGTCCACTGCAGTGGCACACTAGCATCACGTTTGTAAAAGCAAACCTATCAGTAACACATGCTCACCCAGCATGTTCCAGGCTGATAGTGTGCCTGCTTGCTCATGCAACTCAGCTTGTTCTAGATTCTAGGTGAGCATGTACAGCTGTAGTTTGTTCTAGATTCTGTTTAACTTGCACCTTAGGATCAGCCAGTAGATTTACTGGTCAACTCAGACTTTAGTAGAGTCCTATTTCAATCCTATTTAGGAAAAGAACATGCTAGATATGGGGTTCAT